TTATTCCTCTGAATCGCAAGCTTTTCATGCTCAATCCTTAAAAGCTTTTCTTGTTCTTCAATATTAATGGATTCACTTGTAATTCAGGGTTTTTTTAAAAGACTTTTTTGATATACAGAGAATGTTTGCCTTTCCCTTTAAATTCATTAATTAATATACTGTATATTTAATTACAAAATATATATGTATATATTATGTAACTTACGAATTTTTTTAAACACTTCAATAGTTTTTTGTAAGGGTGATTTACCTCTGTTACATTTTAAAAGTCTATCGAGGGAGCAGTCACATGATATTCCGACCTTACAATTCTCTGGAAAATTGGGTTTACAACAATTTTTCAATAAAATGAATTGTAAAACTTAAATCACATTGTACAAATAATAGAATATTAATATATAACATCAAATCATCGAAACAAATCAAAATATAAATTTTAAAATTTCACATTCATTATGTCCAGGGATCATTATAAAGAAGTTTATCATAAGCTTCGACTGTAATTGGATTTATAAACTAACCTGCATTAATGAACCAAAATTAACACAAATAAGTAATTCGAACGAAACTATAAAAGTTCTAAAATATACTCATGACTTTTGTTATAACTTGATATAATGAAGAGTTTTGAATTACGGAATTATTAAATTTCAACCGTATATAGTAAGGTGTGTTAATATTCTCTCGATATAAGTTTTTGTTGAGGACTTCATTATAGCGTGAGTGAGTTGTAATCTTATATTTTCTATATATGAGATCACCTTTATTTTTTGTTGAAATACTGTATGAATAACAAATGAATAAAAAGAAAAAAAAAGTCGTTTACAGTTAACTTTCTATAATGAACTGACAATTCTTATAGTAAAAATTTTTAAAAATTCCTTATAGAAGTAATTTACTATGTTCCTATACCGAACTCTAATAAATTTGTTAAAAAAAAAGAGTAGGCTCTTTATAAAAATGAGATTAAGAGGTCGGATTATCACATGACCGCGTTGGTCAGGGTTTAAAATTATGCCATTAAATTTGGAGCAACCCGGAGTACTATGGAGTAAAGCATTGGAGTAAGTCTAATTTAGTAGAGTGGGTTGAAGATTGGGACAACCCAAACCAACCCAACCCAACCCATTAACAACCCTAGTGGTTTTACTTCACATTCTATACGATCCAGTACCAAAGGCTCTAATCGTTTATTGCATTACTATAAGTGGTGTACTGTATCATACATTCGAATTTTATACAAATACAGTACGAAAATTTCATCTTCGTATACTGTAATAATTTTCATTATCAAGAAAATACTAAAGTACAACAAAATTTTATTACTTTCAAAATTTAAAATACTAAATTGTTTCAAGAAAAAAAATTTTTATTTTATATACGATATATTGTTTTTATTATTAAATACAATGAAATAAACAAAATCCTAACACTTATTCTTTTGAAGGCTAAAATAACCTTGCTGTAAAATTTCTTTTGCAAGTTCTCTAATTAATACAGCAGGATCTTCAGTACTTAATTTAACAATAATTTCAAATAATCCATAACGTTTAATAACATCTTCACGTTGTGGATGTACATCACAAATAGATTTTAAAATACGTAATAAATTTAACCTTACAACAGGTTTTGGATGTCCAAATCGATGTAATAAACGATCAAAAAATGTTGATTGTGCTAAAACACAAGTTACAGGAGCAGATAATTGTGTTATTAAATGTAATGGTTCAAGAATATTTTCAAAAGAATTTGCTTTGGCAACAACAAATGCTTCTAGAATTAATTCAATATTTTTTTGTTGTAAAAGAATTGGTTCTACTTTAGAAGTTTCTTCTTGGAACCATGCAAGAATAGCTTCAAAAGCACTAACTTGCCAAGACTTATCAACCAATAAATTAAGATAAAGTTGTAAAACGTTATTTTGCCATAATAGATCACGACAAGTTTGTCCCGTATGTGCCATTTCACAGAGAATTGGAATAGCAAAATGTCTAAGTGGTGTATTATTTGATGCGAAATACACCAAATGAGGAATAAGTCCAGCTCTTGCAGCTTCTTCTTGCCTTGATTTATTAATTCGACAAAGGTTGAACATTGTGTTAAGTACTTGATTAGAAATTTCCGTGACATATAATGGAACTTGTTTATCCAATAATGCTGTAAGAATTTGAATTGCCTTTGCTTTTTGTAAAGCATCCAATGTATTTGAATGCATAGAAATGTTCTTGATACATTTGAGAACGGCTACAATTAAATGTGATGGTAATTTGTACAAGTTTTCAAAAATCCGAGTAACAACCCGTGTACGTGTAGCCATAAATTCTTTTACATAAACATCACCTCGAGAAAACATTAAAAAGATATTAACAATTCTATCCACAAATATGCAGGCTGAAGGATCATCATCCATTAAAACATTATGTAAGGTAATGGCTAATGGATCTAATACTCCAATTTTTGCGAGTAAACGACAAAAATCATTTTTAGGAGTCGAACTTTGAAGTTCAAAAACACTATAAATTCCATTAATCGCAATCCAAATCAATTCTTTATGTTTAGAATATTCTTCCTGTAAAAAGTCAACTAAAATCTTTAACCCTTGACAAGATATAAACATTTGTAGGATAATTGGAGATGTATGACAAATCTGCCTTATAAATATTGCAGCTTCAACTCTAATTTCATATAAATATCTTTTTGAAGTAAAACTCATGATTATTGGAATACCTCCTACAAGGCAAAAGTTTTCTTGAACATCAATGTTATCTGCAATTATTATGTTAACCATTTTTAGTAATTTTGAAAGCAAGTCAGTGTTAACACATATTTCTAAAATTTCCGTGATAGGAATGACACCATGAAAGATTATAAAATGATTCTTAAGTTCTTGATGTTCAGTTAAGAGATCGATTATTTGAACGCAAGAACTTATCAACTTATCTTCATTTTCGGTTGGTTGTAAAAAATTTATAAGTTCAGCTAATCTTGAACAAGCATTTGCATATTTATCTCGAGCAATATGTGCATCCAAGTCCATTTCATCAAAGTTTTCTTCCAATTCAGCGAATGGATCATCTTC